GTTTTATATTTCCGCTTATGTTTGTCTATTAAAACTCTTCAGCTTTCTGCAGACTGCTATACAAAAATTTGGTTGGCATATTTTTTCTCGCGTAGCCAAAATAGGTTTGTTCCTCCGAGCTACTCAAGCTACATAAGTTCATATTATAGTGAAATAATATAAAGTGTACCATATACGAAATTAAATTTTGATTTTGTTATTTATTTTCTTTCATATCTGGTATTCGCTTTTTTCGGATCCGGCGTTAACCCTTGGTTTTTTTTTGCATACCTGTGTCTAATTACGGCTAAGATCCTCATCCTTCCGGACTGAAAACATCAGTACTGGAACGATAAGTGTGCTTTTGTACAAGCGGTAAGATTTTCTTGATATTTTTTCTTTAATTTTTTATTCAAATCAAAAAAATGCATAAGTTCTCACTCAAAAGGGTTAACGTGAAAGTCAAATCAAAGAAAAAATTGTGATGATAAATTTTCAAATAAGACTGCCCAAGGCGAATTAATATAAGGTGATAGCAGGAGTACAAAAACAAAAATTTACATGTATTTTGTTTTTGCTTTGGCGGCATAAACTGTCAAAATCTGTAAGCGTGTGTGTAGAAATTCAAACAAAATTTTTTCAATTTGATATCAGAAGCCGTGCGGCGAAACACATACACAAAATCAGCTGAGCTAGTAACACCACCTTATATAAATTCGCCTTGAGACTACCGAAATATAATGTCATTGCTATCTGGCACACTTTATTTATTTCACTATGGTTCATATGACGAGCATATAGTAGCAAAGAAACTAAAATAAAACTACACAAAAATTCGAGTTTGTTAAGAACGATTGTGTATTTTGTTATCCATTCGCAGTCTTTGTTACTCGCAAATTTACTGAGGAAAGGATACACACATACGTACGTACATTCATATCGACGGTACTTTGGCAAAACCTCGTAGCTCAGAAATAATTACTACTTAAAACTAATTCAAAAAAGGGCTTAAAATACTACGATTCATTATATATTATTCTTAATTAACTAAAAGAACTTGATCTTTAATATCACTGGTTCACAGCAAAAATGTTCTATGGCTGCCACTTTCTAATTCCTATGTAGAATTGCCCGGTGATTCCGAAAATGGAGATCATTTTTTTTCTATGGATAACTTTTTGAGCAATTTGCAATTTACCGTTATTCAGCTTTTAAAATGCGAGAAATGAAAGCAAAAAAAAAACCTCCATAAACCGTACTTACATCACATTTCAATAGCCCCGATAGTTTCTGAGAAATTAGTTAATCATTGCTGACACCTCTTGTTTTCGGTGCAAACACTCTACCTCTTCAGGAGTACGTTGCGTATGAGTAACACCCTCTTCTGCTCATATTTCATACAAATTCATTTGACCAATCATTATTTTCTTATTTATATAATGATTTTCTTCATTGGTAGGTACATTTTTTTTCTAAAAGAACAGGCTTTAACACAAGTGCAAAATGTTTGCACAGAAAAGGTTATATTTTTACTTTTTTCCCTGTTAAAGTTTGAATTTTTTGCATTTTTCCATCAAAAAACCAAAAAATCTGGAGTGATGAATTAATTTCTCAGAAACTATCAGGGCTATCGAAAAGTGATGTACGGTTTGTGGAGAATTGTATTTGCTTTCATTTTCCGTATCTTGTATTCAGATTATTTATTTTGTTTGTAATATATTCCTGACTAAGTGAAACCACACTTTGTCTTAAGCTGAATAACGGTAAATTGCAAATATCTCGAATATGTATCCATTCCAAAAACAAATAACTCGATTTTCTACATACAAATTGGATAGTGGATTTAAGAAACGAATACCTTTGCGACCTACATATACCTAGTGTTGTTTCGATACGAGTAAGTACGAGTAAATACTCGATACTTTCTTCAACTACTGAGTACTTTTTGTACTCGAATTCTTCCCGCAAGATCTTAGGTTGGTATCAAGTACGCGGTTAAAGTATTACTTGCTTTTCCATAAATCAGAATTTTGGTTCTGGTAATATTGAATCATGATGTTGTGGTTTTGGGAACACGTTCTTAGCAGAGCTTGGCACCAGCGATAGTGAAAATAAACCAAATACATCCAATCCTCAAGCTGTATGAAGCAATATAAATAACATGGCGGTAACACTGACCAGTTGGAGAATCGGATTTCGACAGACAGCGCTTTGTTGGCGAATGAAACTGTCAATTGCTGCTTTCCCGTACTACACCATTTTCCAGTTGTAAATGTGAAAACGCTACTTGAAAATAAGAATATTCAAAAGTAAACGAGGAATGGTCATTTGTAAATGAGAATAGTCACTTGCAAATGAGAAATGGTT